GTGCGCGCGCCGCGCGCGCATGGGGAGGAGTCACTGCAGAATAAGGAAGAAGCCTCAGCAGTTACAGGGAAAGCAAATGTAGACGAAAGAAAAGGGGAGGCAGGAATAAGGAGAGGGCAGGGAGGAACCTTGGGTACAGACCCCGCCCCTGGCCCATGTGACCAGGGAAGTGATCTTGGTCCAGAAGGAGGCTCAGTGCACATGGAGGAGGAACAGCACATCCCACCCATCAGGACAGTAGTGCTTGTGAGCATTTCTGGAATCCAAGCTCTTCCCACAGAAGGAGGGATAGAGCAGGCAGCAGACACCATGGAGTCCCCCTCAGGCCCTGCCCACAGAGGACTTGTCCCCATGCAGGGGCTCCTGCTGGCTGGTGAGAGGGGACAACTACCTGGTGATGGATGGGAGGAGGAGAGGCACAGGATAGCTGGGGACTCCTGGGGAGCACATGCTCTCAGAGAAAACAAAGGGTAGGGGGCAGGCTTCTGTTTGGACATGAGGGGAGAAGACAGGGGAGCAGAATAGGGGAAGGGGACTGGGCAACAGGAAAATGGTGTGGAAGTGGTGAGGGACAGAAAACCTCAATGGCTGCTCATTTCCCAACTTACTCATCACTGAGAGCTGAATGCTGAAAACTTTTGATAATAAGAATTTATGTAAGGAGATAGGAAATTTAACCAGGGGCACTAAATATTGTCCTTACCACCAAGCTCAGAAATTAGAAGTTACATCCCAGGAGGTGCAGGACCCTGCAACACTCACTCATTCATGCACTGGTACTTGCAGTCTGTTGCAGGCACTGGGGTGCAACAAGATCAGACAAGCCCCTGCCCACATGAAGCTCATGTGCTATGAGGAGGAGACAGACAATGGAAGATCTAGATGTGATGTCAGGTCCCCACAATGCCATGCAGGGAACAGCCCAGGGACAGGCCAGAAAATGAAGCAGAGGTCTATAGAGGAGGTGATCAGGGAAGGGGTTTCCTAAGGACACCCCTGAGTGTCAGCAGGGGTCTGAGGGCAGACACCTGGCTAACAGTATTCACAACAGAGGAAATACTTATGGAAACTAATTGGCCAGAAGAAAGATTAGAGCTTCTAGATAATGAAATAGTAGAGAGTCTTAATTCATCTGGCCAAACATCTCATAAGGTACAAATGACAGTGGGTGAAGGAGGAAAACATATAATTAGCTTTAAAAAAAAGTATGATAATACGTGTAAAGAGTTTTAGGTTGCCTGGGATGCTGTTCCCCTCAGACTTTTCCTTGTCTAGTATTAGACATTTTCTCTTCCTAATCAATGTTACTGGTTTATTATTGTTACTTTTGTTCCTGGTATGTAAATGTTATATTAGATGCAGAAAATCAAAACTTAACAAACAGCAAAAAGTCTTGGGTAATGGTGGCTCAAAATGAGAAATGATTCAGAATACTTTTTAACAAGGACATATAGGATCTGACTGCCTCCCATTTATCTGCCCTTTTGAATACTAATAATTTAATCTTAAATTCCATCTAAGGTTCTGGTCTTGCCACATTCCCAGTGGTCCACCCTCTTCAGCAAGACATGCTGACACTGAGACATCCTCGAATGAGCCTTCCTAGCACCCTGAGACTCCATTGTCCATTGATCAATTTCTCTGATCTCTCATAGCCTCACTCTTAATCTTCTGGAGCCTGCCCACCACTGCCCAGCTCACTATTGAATCAGTGCCGCCCAATGCTGCCGAAGGGAAGGATGTGCTTCTCCGTGTCCACAACCTGCCTGGGAATCTATTCGGCTATACCTGGTACAAAGGGGAAATAGTGGACAGCAGCTGTCAAATCATATCATATGTAATAGACACTCAAACAACTACCCTCGGGCCTGCAAGCAGTGGTAGAGAGACAATTTACCCCAATGGATCCCTCCTGTTCCAGAAAGTCACCCTAAAGGACACAGGATACTATAGCCTACAAGCCTTTCTATGATAACATACCCTCGAAATGTCTGGGTAATTTGTAACTTCCCTTTTTCTGGACCCCTTGGGGCACAACGAAATGTGCTGGGCCCCAGACAGATACCGCAAATTCCTTCATAATTTCTGCACCCACCTAAGTATGTGTCCATCATTTAGTTCGGGTGGGTGAACTCTACCTCACACCAGGACTGACAGCCCCTCTGCCTCGATCCCCCTCTGCATCATCTCCAAGATTGGGTTTGGGCATTTAGTGCAGGACACACAGAGCTCTAGTCTATCACCAATGGATTTCATGTAACTCACCTACCTCCCTTCCTTTGATAGCAATGTATAAACAGAGATGCAACCCGCCATTCTCCAGAGCATCATCTCAATTCATTGACGTTCTGCTTCCCGGCATATGTTGACTCAAATAAATTCACAAAATTCTTTACAATTATTAAGAAGAAGAAAAAGAAAAAACAGAGGAAATAAGGTCAGAGGGGCTGAAGTATTGGTGGCCATGATGCTGAACTTACCACAGAAGACACACAAACACACACACACACACACACACACACACACACACACACACACACTCA